GAGCATTTCGGTGAGTTCTAGCTGAATCCCTCACTTGTGATATTCTTCAGGTGGTCAGGCCGCCTAGTGCTACCCCTTGTTTCATTTTCTACGAGAGCCGAAATTTTAAAGTGCATTTTCCTTTTAGAACACGACTCACAAGTCTTCTGAAAGCTCAAAGCAAGCATGGCCCCTAGTGGGTAGATACTGGCCAAGCTGACCAAAGCGACATATGCCATTTAATGAGGCCAGTACGCAGCGGACAAAAATCAGTCACTTCAAACAGCTCTTCTGAGGTGCTCTTACTATGTACATGGTGGAAGATGTTTAAGTGATATAATCGTACTAGATTTCAAGGCATATTTTAGCGTTTCTGTGACTGATCGGTAATCAAAAAAGAGCACCGAATAATGCCTAGTTATAAACAATATCAAGGTTTGTAACACTGTGTCCCTGAGATCCACCCTAGTTTAAAATATTGCTCAAAAATGGTTTTTCAACTTGAGAAGCACCTGAAGTTACCAAATGATAATTTTATCTTGTCGGTATGAGACAACATACCAAAACATTAGTTCCGTAGACTGATCCGAATGATCAATGAATTTGAAACCGAGACAAAACAAAATGCTGTGGGTTTGATCTACAAGACATTCGTGTGCAACATTTGATTATTCATTTACACCAGAAATTTAACTATAACTTGGTGTTCTACAAGGCGTCAGTCGTGGCGCATAGTTGGGAGTAGTCTGATAAAGTGGGTATTTCATCTGTGCAATGAAATTTTTCAGTTCTGTTCTAAGTTGTTTATCGTAGCCCAGGATACCGATACTAAGCGAGCATTAGAATGAGCACATCTTCTACCACTATCAGCTAATCCATTGTATTCAAGTGATATTCATTCTCACTTGTGGATGATTTCGCTGCACTCTAATGTGATTCTGCCAGTTTCGGTAGATTTTCAAAGGCGTTTGGTTATATTCGCGCAATAAGGATATAATAGTACTTTGGAGATCCTACTTGTTTAAGCGACAAACTAAACCGCTTATTAAACTGCGAACATGGCGGAGAGCTAATCAGTGTTACCTTGGGGTGAGTTAGGAATGTTCTCCCTCTATACTATATTTGATTGCAGGTTAAGTACAGGAAGAATAGTTTTCAATGTATGGTTTAGAGAAGCAGTGGTGCTGTGTCCTCATTACTGATCAGCTGCCTGTGGTGGAACAGCTTGAGCTTCAAATAAAACCCTCGAGTATGCGAATTCGAAGCTCCCTAGGTCTTCGTGAGATGAGCATTGCAGGGTGGTCACAGTAAGGTGAAAACGCCATTCAGTGCTAATAGGCCTTCCGGTATAGGTTGACTTCACTTACAGGAGGAAAGTTCGACTGTGAAATGGAATTGAACTGAAGGACGAAAGACCTACATTGGCCCGCTGTTGGCTACTGGTGCCCAGATCTCGTCCATTATGTCCACTGGGCTTTTCGCAGCACAACAATGGATTAATGTGAAGTTATTACCGTGCCTGCGGAATGGTAATTTTGCACCAAACAAGTGACGTTTTATTTCATTGTGAGTTACCGTGTGAGCACCTGGAGAAATCGAATGATCCTCAGGTAAGCAGTATA